TAAGTGGTGATCAGAATCACTATTTGCTGAATGGTGATCAGAATCACTGTTTGCTGCATAATGATTGGAATCTCTGTTTGTTGAACGGTGGTCGGAATCGCTGTTTGCCGAACATTGATCAAAATTGTGAATGGTTATCAAATTTGCTGTCCACTGATCAAAGGCACTATTTACTAAACGGTGCTCAAGAGTACAGTGATCTAAACAACTATTTCCGTTAAACAGTGATCCGAATCTACGCAAAGAAATTACACAAAATATCTTATCAACGCAAACAGTGGTTTAAATTATTGTTTATATGAAACTACGATCGCAATGACTGATTGTGATCTGCAAATAACTAGAAGGAAATCACAGTCGGTGTGTATTTGATCAACACTTATATGCATCACCATTTTCACAGCGAATATTGTATAAAGTGAGTGATAATGCATATTTACATATTTTTCTAGACATTCAAAAATTTAGACATCCAAAAAAATAGACAAAAATTTTATAATTGATTTGCCACAATCACTTCAAAAGTATTTACATTTAATTTATCACAATATTAATTGATTATTTATATATCATTATATATAGATGATTATATATCAACAATTTATATACAATGTATACATTACGAAATGGTAAAAATGTTAGGTGAAATTTCTCTTCTAAGTCTGTCAGTTTCCGCAAATAATTTCAGGGCTCTATCGTCTATGTATTTTTTGATCGTATCAATCTTGAGATCCCTAAAGCTATCATTCATGGTACCTTGAAAAGTCGTAAATCGCTGGTGAATAGTAGTGTTTAAAGCTTTGCTAAACGCTACACAACTATATAGAAGTGACGGACGAATTATTTGGTTATATATCAGCTTCATGTTCTTAGCATCAAGATTTTCATTTCTGAATAGCGGTTGGAGGTGATGAAGAATTTCGGCACACCTAATTCTTTTCAATTCAACATGTTTAAGCCATGTGAATCGTTTGTTCAACGTGATGCCGAGATATTTAACGCTATCCTCTCAGTTAATTACCATACCTCCCACTCTCACTTTCGACGGATTCTGTCTCCACTTACGCGTAATAAACAACGCCTTGGTTTTTTCATTATTGATTTTTATTTTTCATTTCTGGAAATACTCCAGAATGAGGTTCAAATGCTCTTGAACTACGTTGGTTATATTGAGAGCACATTTATCTGAGTATAGCATACACATATCGTCAGCATATAACGCCAGAGTCGAGGGACCCAACATTGGAATATCAGATGTTGTAGAGAGTGGGGAAAGTGGCGATCTCTTTTACACACATATATTATTTTAGATATGTATTATCTATATATGTTATCTTTAAAGGGATTTGAAGTCCCGCACACAATAATTTTGAAACAATAAATTTGATGTTTGTTTTTAGTTTACTTAGAGCTGAATGATGAGTGAAATAGTTTGAGAGCTATTCACTTTATAAAAGAAACAAATAAATATCGCATTAATTAGGAACCGAATGGTAATTATATTATATTATATAAAACAGAAAATGCTTATTTATTTATGATTTGTATTAAATTTCTTAAACGAATGTTTAATTAAAATGTGGTTGCCTTTAACAAATATACTATTAGAAAGTTATAACTGAGTCTGAATCTATTTATTTTAAATAAGTTGTGATATTTTAGGTTATTCAGGGTGAAACCTTTGATTTCGATTGATTCCTAGGTCTAAAGACCATATGATAAAGAAATCGGATTGAAATTGGGATCCATTTTCAATATTCATTAATTGATGTTCGTAGGAAACACGCTGTATATAAAAGGTTATATATGGTTAGAACACATGAAAGGTATAAAATATAGTCATCTAATTTTGTTCAAAATATAAGAGATTCTTTCTAATAGTTTATGTGCAATATGAATGCTAATATGAATAAATTGTATGTTATGTCTATTGAAACAAACAGGTAAATTACATTCATATATTTAGGAGGGCCCTCGGTACTGTTTTTACAAACAACTCGGCAAACTTATCGGTTTCTAATATAATTGCTGATAATATAAATGGAATTTAATACTCTTCACTGTAACTAAAATTCAAGTTAGCCCTTGCTTTTTTGCTTAAGTGTATCAAAATGACTGATTTTGATGAATGGACTGAGTTGAAGAAAAAGGTTCTGACGTTTTTAAAAAACAATTGATAGAAAAGAATTTCATTTAAAAAACCATTTTATTCTCTCCACTACTATATTATAACAACAATAATAATATTTATTGTATTATTACATTCCTTTATTGCAAACTTCGTTGTAAATACAATATGTTATTATATTAATTCTTTGCTTAGTGGTACTAATTAATGGTGGTAGCTTGTAATCCACTTAACCAAATGGCAACATCGTTATTTTCGACTAACTTTTATCGGCTGTTACCAAAGATATAAAAAATGGGATTCTTAAATGAAAATTCGGAATATTCATTTTTCACATCGAATTAATGAATTAATGAAGTATTCAAATATCGTCTTTGTTTTGAAATTAACTTGACAGTTAAAGTCTACTCGAACCATATACCATAACGGAAGCACCCGAGCACCCTTATCATAAACAGTGTAAATCTTATCAAAATAATCAGCTAATTTATTATCTATTAAAAAAGAACCGCTGGGATATACTCTATATATGGTATATATTCAGAAATGCTCGACGACTTGAAAACAATAATTTTTGCAGGTGATACGACTTTATTGGTCGTAACCGACTCAGTCCAAGACAAAAGTTAGTTCGTTTTTTTAAATCTCCAATTAGTATTTAATGACGTTGTAATATAAACTAATAAATGACACATTTAATTGAATCATAATATATAAAAAAATATCCACAAAATAATCTGAATAAATTTAGATTTATGAATGTAATATACATAAATAGAAGTACATAAAAAAATAGATGTATTTATATATAAAAAAATACATAAAAAAATAGATGTATTTATATAAAGTATAACATCATATATCATATATGGTATGATAAATTATATAGGGTTAAGCTCCACAGCGCAATATCAGCATAGCACAGCGCTTCTAAAATAAACTCTTCATATACATTGTATAGTAAACGTACCTTGGTTTATCAGAAATCGAGATTTCCACGTAAACTGTTTACGGAGAAAAGCTCAAATGGCAAATTAATGAAGAAATATTGTATATTTACTAAATAAACCAAACATTAAACCAAGTTTAAGACGAAAATATCGTAGCGATTTGGAGAGTGTATAGATAAACTTATTTCTGTTTTTGGACATAAAGTCCCATTTTTTACAACTGCGACTGACAGCGGACGCGATTCTGTTAGAAACACAGTTCGCAAAGGACGTCCAATATCAGTTGTTCTGACAGAAAGTTCTATTGCTGTGTAAAAATTGATAATGCGAGATCGTCTTGTGCTATTCTGTGACATTGCAGCAACTTTAAGCACTAGTTTCACTAGCATACATAAAATAGATTTGTTCTTGCTAGATATCATAGAATAGTGGTGGTTCAAAATTAGAATATAAGACTAATACAGTTAAAAAAATGGATCTATGGGTATGCGCATGGAAGGAGTTGTTGTCTGCGTGATGAACTTATTCTAACAAAAGTTGGTTCCACTCGAAGTACTTCAAAACAAATGGTTGCAATCCTTTTTCTAAAAACTTTATATGAGATAACAAGCAACATAGAACGATCAGTTCTGAATATCACTTAGCCATTTGTATGCCAGAAGTGTTTCCACACAAATAAGAAAAACTATTCTCCAAAAACATTTTCCACCAGCACAATGCAAGCTTCGGTTCAATTAAATGAGTTTTTGAGTACCCAATATCTTGAACCAGTAGTCACGATATTGTACAAATTAACTTCTTCTGATTGTTATATCTTAAAGACAAACTACTTGGAGGATGATTTTTTTCGGAAAAGAAAGGTTAATATTTCAAAAATTATTTTTTCAATTTCTCCTAAATGAAATAGAATATATGCTATGTCAAATACTTCATACACATGTAGAAACTAACAGGTCATATATAGGTCATGAGGTGGCCATCACGTTAAGTGCATTTCTATATAACACTTATTGACTTAATATGATAAGTTAAATTTAAAAAAAATTTTAAATAAAATTACCATTATTATGCTTCAAAGTTAAGCGAATAGATAACGTAGAATTTGTTTCTACCATTTATATAAACTTCATATATATGGTATATATAGATATAGATTTTGTTTTTTATTTTGAAGTTTTCAAAAACCAATTCACAAATTGATTTTGTTGAAATAATTTACATTAATTTAGAAAAGGGGCAGTAATTATAATTGACCTGCATAAAAACCATATCTCATAAATTTTTCCACATTGTAATCAGACATGCAGTCAGGGTGAATTGAGTGGATAAAGCACCCTACGAAATGAACTAGTAAGCTATATTCACCAAATATATATATGTACATATATATAAACATTTCGTTTTGAATCAGTTGATCAAATGCATATATTTTTTTTATTTCACAAAATACATTGAATTTTTAAAGTATTTGCATATCTAGAAAAAACTGGCACAAAATTATATTTTTCAGTTTTTTAGATATCAGTTTTTTTCTAAACCCAAAATAATAGTATGTATTTATTAACGTGAATACTGTTCGCCTCCATGTAGTCTTTGGACGTCGTTAAACATCCAAATTGTTTAACGAGCTTAGATACATGGCACGGAGTAGCGAAAACTGGACATTTTTTGTAGATAGACTAAGTTCTTAGATATAAAATCAATTTATAATTCTATAAACTCTTAGGACAAGGGATTGCTATAAGGAATTAGCAAATTTTAACTTTTGTTTATAATTGTAGCGCTGCTCTATCTCGTTCTTCTTCAGTTTCGAGAGTTCATTTTACTCTCTCAAAAGATATACGAAACAGGTTTTATATTATTCGATTATATCGTACGCATCATATAAAATAATGTAGGTTAACGAAATTGATTTATCTTACCAAAGAAGTCTTCCCAGCGCTCAGAGTCGTCCGATTCTATATCCATGTTGACAGCTTTTTTGGCACTGGCAGGTATTAATAAAAATAAAAATAAAAATATTTAAGCAAGCTAAGCTTTATTGCACAAGATCAATTCACTGTTTATTCACTCACATTAACTCAAATGTAAATGCGATCAGAGAGAAAAAAAACACCACGACTTTTTTTTTACCATAAAGAAGTCGTCATTTCATTTATGAAACCGACGTTCTCTACAAATACTTTAAGTAATATAAACCGTTTTTTAATTTCTTTTTGTAGGCACTGGCGCTGGTACTGGCACTGGCACTGGCACTGGCACTGGCACTATACGTTTGTAGTTTATTTATTAACGTTATTATTAATTTTTAAACTGATAAGATCAACTTTGATCTCTCTTTGCTTTCGAATGTGTTGTGTTTCCTTCGATTTTGGTCGGCGCTGATATATTCCAAATATTGGCAAATAACTTAAACCTTATCTTATCGAATGAACGAACCGTTCGCGTTCATAGAATTTGTGTCTAAACTGCCTTTTTAGCAAGTCTTCGATATAAGACATTTTAATTTATTTCCATGCAAACGAGGAACGGGGCAAACCGGGGCAAACGGTGCAAACGGGGGCAGCGCTGACTTGAGAACCGACCGAAGCTGTATAAAAACGAAATATCGTAAAACTCTTGACTTGCACATCGTCTTTTTCCACTTTCAACCCGTGCAGATACGCAGATACATCGCGTTAATTCGTTCATTCGTGGAAACCGAAATGAGTAAACCAACTCACTCTGTACTGCAAAATTAGTAACTAAAGAAAATTAGTATATTTAGTATTTAAAGCACAAGTTTCTTGCTTCAGATAATTTCTTCGCTTTTCAATTTCTTTTCATTCATTTATTACATATATAGTATATGTTATATATCATGTGTGGTGCACCACACATAGCCAGAGCAGAGCGTTTCTTCATAACTTTTTTACATTTCTCCACATAAAAACTGCTTTTATTTTTATTTTATAAAAAAACTGAAGGAAAGCAATTTTCTTGTGGAATTGCACAATTCATTCCAATTGAAACTGCACAGCCACAAACATATTCACATTTTTCTATCTGCTCAGCGAGGGGTTTTTGTATGCACTTTTTCACTGAGAATCACAGAAAAAAAATAAACAAAAATTTATTTATATTAAATGTTATATCTTAAAGATACAGATACATTGCACAATCACACAAACAAAAGTTTTTCACAACGACTTCACAACGACACCGCAGTACGACACAACCAACTCTCACTCCGCCGCCGCTCGAAACCAACTAGTTAGGTTTCTCAATAAAACTGTTTTCTGACTTCTTTATCGTACTCTAAAACCTGATCAACGGCGTTGCCAAGTCAAATAATTATCCATTCATTTAAACCAAAATAAAGAGAAATGACTCACAAATTTAAAAATATGATAGCAGAATATAATTCCGATAAGGTTTCATACTTTGAAACCTTAGAGATATTATAAAATCCATTTTGAAATTCAAAAAAGAGGGTCATATTTCTCATCAAAAACAGGACCTTTAATCCAAAAAACAATATTAAATTTCTTATCATTTTCGCTATTGAAAACACTGTGAATCCGCAGGTTAGACCTTTCTTGCTAACATGATAAATTCCTCTAGACAGAAACGGAATAATAGACCTGACATCCTGCTTTTCTAAAGATTATCCTGTCGTGATATCTGGAGAATAAACCATGGCTTCTTATTCAGAGTCCCCTTAAAATAATTTACAATTCATTGTGGTATATAGTATGTATGTATATATAACGACCAATATGTATGTTATTACGACCAATATTCAATTAGTTTTTATATTTGTTACTGGGTTTAGGTCGTTTATTTAACAGATAAATTTTAAAAAATTGTTTTTTTTTCAATAAAATAAAAAAAATCACACTTTTTAAACTGTATTAAATATTTACTTATATTTTAATTTTCATACAAAATAACTTATATTACAGTGTATAATAATGATTAGTTATTAAAGCGATTCAATACAGACATATTGTTAAATAATAAAACAAAACAATTATCTAAATCAGGGCTGCCCCAAAGCACGGTCCATGGATAATATATGTGCGCCCCGCGACATGTTTGTAATCTACCACAATTACGCAAATTTTTCCTTAATATAATATAGTAAAATTACATTATTTTATTTTTATAGTATTTCAAAAAAATTAATTCAAATGAATTAATAATTTTTTTTTTTTAAACATCCTTTATTGGATATAGTACAATAGTACAATCCTAAGTATGTGTTAATTTATTACTATTGTTCCATTGTACTTAATAGATATTAAAAAAGACGTGTGTGGGTTTACTGAACCATTTTTCAGCTTCCATTAAATAAATAAATAAAACTAAATTTTATATTAACAAATTAAACACTATAAGCGTATTTTTATTTTCTTCAAAAAAAAAACATGGACGTATGTACTTGTTTCTGCGACCGTCCAATCTGCTCAGCGACTCGTATTGGCTCCCGATCATATTGGTCTGCACTGCACTGCAATATTGATTGACTAATATTTATTTTATTTTCCATTCTTAATTATCATAACTTTGGCGCCACAATTTAGGTTTAGAATTTCGTAAAACAAGTATTCAGACAGACTTTTTCGACTGGGATAGATGTCGATATAGCTTGGTACTCGAGATATTATATTTTAAAGTTATGAACTTTTTACATTAGTTGCGTTTCAGTAAACAATAAATGACTTCAGTCTTCGTCACTAAAATGGTGCGGATTACCTATATATGAAAGTAATTGATAACACACATAATATATATCAGAATAATATTTGCTTTCAAAATGTTAGGTACACTCCCATACTTTTCAAATGAAAGTTAAGTAAAATTAAAAATGAGAATTAACTTACATGTTATTTTCTCTCTGCGAAAAGCAGATTACGTATAGTGTACATGAATTCTTGGAACTAAAACCTACGTTCTTATATACCCTTTTGTTGGAATAAGGGAAAAACTTTTTTTAGATGATTTATAATATATATTCATATTAATATGAAATACAACATTAAATTTTATTTTTATTTCACATCACTGTGTATTATGTATTTATATTGTATATAAATGTATTTTGTAAAGTATTTTAACTGATGAGCATTTTTACAACTTTAGTTGAATTTTATTTAAAAATTTTATTAAATAAAACTCATTAAAGATTTGTATACATAATATGAGATCACAGTTTGCTCGGACAACCCTTTTTTTGGTTTATGGGTATTAGAATGCAAAAAAGTAAAAATTACAATACTTTTAATTAAATATCTATAGAAGTACGTACAGAACAGACCAGTTGTCTTATCTTTTCATCTTCAACTTTATACTTCAATTTGTGGCTTGAGTTTTGTTCTAACTGCATTTACTGCACTCACTGTACCTATGCAATCGTCGCATTGCCAAAGATATTTTGCATAAAATACGTTCCACTTTTATTTTGTACATACATTCCACATTAAACCAGAATGTGAACCAAACCAATTGCAATGGGATTAACCAGCAATTAATCTGGTTAATATTCTGGTTCAATGTGGAATGTATGTACAAAATAAAAGTGGAACGTATTTAAATGCGATGCAACGGTGCAGTAAAATTATAAACAAATCGAAATTTATATATATTTATTATTGATTTTATTTATTTATTATTTATTTTATTAATTTATTATTTATGTTATGTATTTATTTATTTACTATGTCATTATTAGCTGCGTTTCAGCAAATATGATCCGCTCAATGGTCTGGATCATCTTTGCTGAAACGATATACGGATCACTTGTGAAAGTAACGCATGAAATATGCCAGTTGGGTTTGTGTACAAAATTTTTTGATTTGTGTGAATAATTTTGGCGCTAAAAAAATAAGTGAGAAAATTTTGAATACAAAAAATCTAAAAAATGGAAAATAAATAAAATCTATTGAAATGTCTGAAGTATTAAATGTAAGTTTTTATTTAGTATTTACTTTAAAACTTAAATTTAATTCTATAGTAAATAAATGAAAATTGTAGATTTTATTAGAATCATCGAGCGAAACTGACTCTTCTATTCCCTTTTTAAACACTAGTTCAAGTGTATTAAGCCCAGTGGATATAGTGGAAATTTTGTGGAAACGATCAATAATTTTTTCGTTAAAGATTATTTGATTGGTATTTGCGCATAAAAAATACAATAGCTACATATTAATTATGTTTTTTATTTTACATAATTGATTTGTTAATAAAATCCAATCAACAAATACAAAATAACAGTGGTGGTCACAATTGGACGAGAGCAATGAAGGAAATTTATATATTTTTGTGGTATATAGCAAATATCAATACACCTTTGTCAAAACCCCACAAAACCTCACAAACCACACTAATATATACAAAATGTTTAGGGTTGTACTTCATATCACTTTTTAACAGGTCGGATCCCAAGCAATTCGGCGAACGCCATCCTAATTTTGAAAGTGTATCATTCCAAATCATAATCAGTACTTCGAAAATGAAAATGTAAGTCTTGATTTCTTGGTAATGGTACCTGAATATAGAAATGTGTTTAAATCCCACTTTTAGTCCTTCTTATTATATGAATGAAAATTAGTATTCCAAAATTTCTACGATATGTTAATTTCTCATTAATTTCATTCTTCCCATAAGAGTTCTAAATAAGCTATAAACTTTCTTGCCCCTAATTTTAAGAAATTTTTTTTATTGAAACCATCTTTAATGAAAGGCAGAAACACCACAGCACATAATTTCTTATCCGAAATTCGCTCAATATTATAGAATTCAGTTGACTTTCCGAATAGGTAAGTAGACGTCGTCTTGGTAGAATCACAACCAAACTAATTTTGCATTTATTCACAAAAGTATAAATTAAATAAATTATATTGTTTTAAAAATAATTTTCTTCTTAAAAAAGGGATCATTGGCCATTAGTTAAACAACATACTTTTTTTAAAAAAAATTTAAAAAATTGTGTAGTCATGTCCATAGAAAGACTATATTTGTGAAATATTAGTTTATTATAAATATTAAATATTGGTTTAAATAAAATTCTTTAAACATAAAAAAATTTGTTTAAAGAACTGTTTTAGTTAACCAATTGACCAATTAACCTATCAAAAAAAAATATATATATAAAAAATATTTTTATTATTAAAATAATAAAATAATGTTTTAAATAAATGAAAACCAACAGACAATTTTTTGAGAAAGAAGCAAAAATTC